GAAAAGTGTAGGAATACTTTTTCCATCTATTGTAATCAAAGACGAAAATAGAGTTCACATAGGAGTTCAACATCTATTTTATATATAAAAAATGCTGACCTTATATATATAAAAAGAAATTCGGATAAATCCCTTTTGTCCTCTGGCTCCGCCCTTGATTGTGATGTCATGGCCCCTTAGCATACCCTCCATAGAATTCTTTCTTATTCCAGGCTCCCCCCTTTTTCCCCACCTTACGAGTGCTAAAAGACTTGCATGACATATTTAACATGTTTCGATCTAGTTAATACTTTGATACCGTCTCCAAATTTTTTTCGGGATATAAAAATGAAAAAACTATGTGTTGTCGAAGTGATGATTGTAATTGTGATACTAATCATATCTTTAGAGTTGGCCTAATTTTGAGCTGAAGCAAAAGACCAGCAGATTTTTACTTCGTCTCTTTGATTCGCAAAATAATAACCTTGTCCTGTCTATTGCTAAGTTAAGTATTAGAACCGGTGGTTGACACTAATCCGATTGCAAAGCGTACGAAATAAAAGTAATTCAGATTTATAGCATGTTTGGCCAACCTTTTTTCGGGCCAAAAATATTTTTGGGGTGGCTAAACTTTTAGAATGAAAAAAATATTTTTGAGGAAAAACAAAAGTAATTTTTGAAAAGCAAAAAAAAATAGCTTCTCTCCAAAAATATTTTTGAAAAAAAATATATTTAAAAATAATTTTCAAAAGCTTGATCAAAACACTAATTATTACTCAAAAGTATTTTTTAAATTAATTAGTCAAACACAAACTGCTCCTCACCAAAAATACTAAAAAGTACTTCCGAAAAAAATATTTCTCAAACATAATCTGATTTTTTTTAAAAGCTTGGCCAAACAGGTAATTAGCCAAAACAAATAAATATACACAAAATAAAATTGAATGCTACATCAATTTCATATTATGAAAATTGATAATATTGTACACTGATCTATGTAGTACCTGTAATTTATTTTGTTGCGAAGTACATTACCAAAAGGAAAAAAAATAAAAGGAAAAAGAAAATTGAAGGAAAAAGACTAATTTAGTAAAGCAGTTCAGTAGAATCCTGTCTTCTTGTGACCCTACAAAGTTTTAGCAACTCTTCAACAACTTCATTTATTTCTTTGGCTCCATTACTCTCCAAAAATTCACTATACTCTCTTGCTCTTTTTCTCAATCTCTGCCCTATTTTCTCTGCCACCACTTTCCTTATGACCTTTGCCACCTCTTGTCTATCAAGATTTCCATTTTTGTCCCTAACAGCCTCTTCACCTACCCCTGCATCTACTACCAACTTAGCATTAAGTGGCTGATCAAGATGCATTGGCATAGCTATAATTGGAATTCCAAGTTGAAGCCCTTCCATTACTGAACTCCATCCACAATGGCTCACAAATCCGCCTATACTTGAATGTTGCAAAATTCTTAGCTGTGGAGCCCATCCTTGTACTATTTTTCCTCTGTTCCCAATTCTATCAAGAAAACCTTTTGGAAGCGCTTCTTCTAGGCTGATATTTGTTCCCACTGGAAATCTCACAACCCACAAGAAATTCACATTGCTGAGCTCTAGCCCATAAGCCAGTTCTTCCATTTCCTCCTTGGACAGGAAATACTCACTCCCAAATGAAGCCAAAACTGTGGAACATCTTTGTTTACTGTTTAGCCACTTCATTACCTCTGAATGTTCATGCTCTGTTTCTGGTTCTCTAACAAGCGGTCCAACAGGAACATACCTGAATGTAGGAAAAATAAATTCATTTTAGATGCTTTTTTTTTTATTTGATTTGTCAAAGTTTGAGTAGACGCGACATACCTTTTCTCGCATAAAGTAGAGAGAAAATCCATGTATTTTCCTTCTAGCTCTCTGATAGTCTTGATCAAGATGATTTCAGATGATCCATCTATGCATCCATTGACTCTTCGCTGTGTATCTGTATATCCATCATCTTCAGTTGGTTCAAACATATCTCTATTCCTGTCGTACTCATGATCTCTAAGGTAAATAGCTGAAAAAGGGTATTCAGAAACAGGCTTCTTTCTACCAATATGAAAAAGATAACAACTTGCTGCTGCACCAGGAGTAAGAAATAGAACAGATGGTATATTCTGTGAAGCAGCCATAGTTGGAACCCATGGCTGAAGAAAATCATACATAACCAAATCTGGCTTCAAAGTACTAAGTATATGAAAAAAGCTTGGTTTGGCCATATCTAAAGCATTTTTTAGAGTGGACATGAGATGGGGTGGTAGGCCATTTGTGGTGTGGTAGTGAGGAGGAAGTTCAGGTAAATTTGGAAGGTGAAGTTCAACTATCTTTATTGAAATTGAATCTTTTTCTGAAATTGTTTGTTTGAAAGAATTGATATTGACTGGTGTGGAACATATGTATATGTAGAAATTTCTCTTGGACAGTGCTTTGGCTAGTTCTATGAAGGGACATATGTGACCATGTGCTAGCCATGGCAACATTGCTATTCTAATGCTTCTCTGTCGTGTATCCATAGAAAAGTTTGAAACTACAAAAAGGGGGAAATTAAACACAATGAAAATGATGGGAGTATAGAAATCATTTTTAGGACATGTATTTATTATAGGATATATGTGTTTTTTAAGCTTTATCTTCTTGTTGCAGCTATACGGATAGAATGAGCAAGAAAACATGTAACGTGGCAGCAGAAGGAAAATCATGAATACGTGGCAGTAGAGAGGCGTGTACACATAAGCATGATACTAAGAAAGAGAAGAAAACGATCCATAAAGTCAAAATGCAATATGCAGCGTAGTCTGTTTTTGTAAGAAGTTGTGACGAAAAGTAAATTGAATACCAAGAGGCCATTTGGAAAGTCACCTTGAATTTGCGTGTAATTGACGTAATTATACAATTTAATTTATTTATCTCGTCAAGTAATTATTTGATTAACATAAAATTAAATATAATTGGAAAGGCATAATTACATTTTCTAATTTACAAACAAAAGTGAGAATTAGTGATAATTGTATCGTATAATTACAAGGTTATTTTTTAATTTTTTTATATATATTTTTAATCTATTTTTTATAACTTTTTATTTTCATTAGTTTAATTATTTTTATTTTATTTCTACTTTTTAATTTCTTTTTTGATTTTAAAATATATTTTTCTTTGTACCAGTACTTTTATTTATTTGCCTTTATTTCTTGTGATTGCATATAATTGCTCGCATATTTTATTTTTTATTTATTTTATTTTCTTTATTATCGTAACTGCGTTATTATTCTAGTTTTTAAAACTACATCTCCTGATATTAGAAATAATGAGTGATTAACAAACTTGATATATAATGAGTGATGTCATTAAAGTATAATTTCGTTGTTGAATGAGGTTATAAACCTATTATGTTTCCTAATCTTAAGTTGTATTGGAATGTATTTTTATTATGTTGAAATTTAACATATGTTAAACTATTTTTTTTTTTTGGATATTGAAATTGTGTTATATTTATGGTTCAAATTTACTTGTTTTAATAATATTGACTTGTTATTTCACATTGCATATTGTTTATTTTTAGTTAGAATTGATAGCTTAGTTTTGTCAAACATTTGAATAATTATATGACATTATTAATAATTTATTTTATCAGCATTTCATGATGTTCTTACAAAACGTATGTTTTTAGCTTTTATAATTAATTAAGCTAAATATTATTAATGTGAAAATATATAAAAATTATTTTTATAATATTAGCTATAAATATATGATTACTAATTAATGTATGTTCAAGAAAAAATATGCATCTTGAATACCAAAGCCAATATCATTTATACTTGTAAAAAAATTATTTATAGGCATATATTTATTATATTAACTTTTAAAGTTTCGATAATTAATTCATTTAAAATTTAATGTAAATGTGTAATTATACTTGCACAACCAAACAATACGCTTGTAATTACATTATGACAAATAAACAAGTCATCGTAATTATTAGGCTGTGTAATTACTATCCTATTAATTACATCATTTCAATTACCGGGGACTTTCCAAACAGACCCCAAGTGTTTTCTGTGCAATAAAATTGAGGTGGAATTTTCGGAATCTGTATGCAGGCTTTGTCCATTCCCTAAAAGAAGTTACATCTATGAGTGGAAAAAGATTGCCATTATGATAGAGTGGAATGATGATATGATTATATTTTTGATATGAATAGAGTGGAATAATGCTTGGAAGTAGTTGATTTGTATGAAATATTTTGTAACATAATAGGATGAAAATTTGATTCTATAGAATATTTTTTAATGATATATAATAAGATAATATTGATTTTATCTTAACGAGTGAAGCATATAAACATAACTGCACCAAGAGCTTCGGTATATTATTGGATTTTTTAAAGAGTTTTGAATTTTTTTTTTCAAATTATATATAGGGGAGGAGAATAGGAAATAGGGAATGAGATTACAAGATGTAAATCGAATCCTCCCAACAAGGTGAGCGTTCAAATAGCTAACTAATTGCATTATTAAAATTATCTTATTATTGGTTTTAATTTTAAAGCCTGTTTGGCCAAACTTCTACGAGGCTAAAAGTATTTATTTTTTTTTTGTGAAAAATAACTTTTTGAAAATTTGATGCGTTTGACCAAGATGAAAAAGTATTTAATTTTTTATTTTTTTAATAGCAGATCCACTAAGTAGTGTGCTTAAGGCTAGTTTATATATATATATAAAATTAAAAATATAGTCTTTACAAGAATGACAATGATAATGGACGATACAAAATAACACAAGACCCATAACCAAAATAGAAATTGTGCCTTCTATTTTGACATTACAAAATGAAGGAGGAAAAGCCCAAAATCATACACTATATTTAGCCTTAGACTTAAAATAATACATATTCTTTAACATGGTACACTAATAGTCACTTTTCTTTAATAAAGTGGTGCACTTTTAATCACAACCTTAAACACCGTTTGTTTTTTAACAGGACTTTCCTCACGTGCCTGTCACATGATTTCCATTTCAAAGAAAACAGATTTCTCTGCAAAAGATCAACGTTCTCTTCCTTCTCTTTCCCATTTCTTCCCCCAATTTTCATAACCCTAGTTTATAAATTCACGAGACCAGGTGGGTAATCAGGTGAGTCAGATTGGTTTTGTTGGAGAAAGACAAGAAAACGCAATGAAGATTCAAGGGTGTACACATTTCTATTTTTTGTAGTTCAATATCGACAAATTTAACTATCACTACCACAAGAATGAAACTTTTCAGTTAGAAACTTTTATTGCCACTTCCACATCCTCTAGAAAGGCACATCATTAACTATTTTCTCTCCTATAGCATATCGAATCTTTAACTTTGTTCTGATTCTATTTCCTATTGCTAGCTTGATCTCCTTTTAGATTTTGAAATTTCAGTATATTATTATTCATTTAGTAGCAGCTAATTTGCTTGATTACTAGCGGAAGGAATAGACACTCATTGATTGACTATGAAATAAACTAAGGTAAATAATAATTCATCCAGATTATACTACTCTCTTGGATATGTTTCTGCAATGTGGTAGAAGTTTTATGAATTTGAGATCTTATAAAAAAAAAAAAGATTTATGAATTTGAGTTTTTATAGGAATATGAAGTGCATAAATACCTCTAGTTCTTTACTTGTTCAAAAGGTATGTTTGGTACTTAGTATGTGTTTTACCTCTTGTTGGAATCAAGATCATGCTACTTGTGGAAACACATAGTCATGAGAAAGTAGAGACAGTGTCTTAGTGCTTTTCTTAAGCGACTGCAATTGCCAATTTAAACTACTCTGTTGTTAATAGTTAACAAGTTCCTGTTGGTAATATCCTTTTCTCCACCATCTTTTCAAATAAGAATATAGTTTTCATTGGATAACCATAGTGTGAATAAGCTCCAATTATTGTATTAAATGTCACAACATCTGGTGTAGATGTTAGACGAAAACCTTCTAAACATCCTCTAAGTTGCCACATTATGCATATGCTTCTATTAACGAGCTTTCCACATGCAGGTTTGTCCCAAACCTCCCCTTAACTACCCAAGAATGCACCTGCCTGCAGATTGCAAGAAATGGTAGTAACGAGCAGGCCTTCAGAGTAACTGAAAATGTATATTCATCTCAAGCCATATCATTTTTTAGCATCTTATGGAAGATTTCTAACCCAGCAACAACCTCATCATTGGGAACAAGGTCGGCTATCAGTGCATTCCATGATGCACAAGATGTTATACGCAACCATAATCATGACATTCTATAGAGGCTGAGTATGAAAGGGCCCCAGAAACGGTGAATTCATTAGGTTCAGTATTGTTCTTTCTCATCAAACAGAATTGTGTCAATGCCTTATTGAAGGCCTTTTGATGGTAAAGTCCAGATACAAAAGCAGTCCAAGATATAACGTTCCTACTGACAAGCCCTCGGGACAAATTCTCGGCCTCCTCAATCATTTTTGCTATTCAAAAATGTACCTTTTACTTTTCTATGTAATGAATGATTTAGATGAATGAGAATTTTGATGAAGCTTTTGGCATAAAATTTCTATTTCATTGCAACTGGTCATACTTCGTTAAACATCGACAATAAAAACTAATACTTTGACAAAATGATTCGCTTGGCTTAGACAACAGATTTGGTCTTCCATATCCGTTCTGATATTGGACTGTTAAATATTAGATTTCTCTCACTCAATTTTGAGTATCAACTTATACTTTATGGAAAGCTTGTGAAGCATTTCCTTGTTATATACTGAACGAAAGATGAATATTATTGTGGCTTAAAAAATGTGGGTGCATTGTACTAACTATAATTAAAAAAAAAAAATCCAGCAGCATCTTATAGCATTTAGCAGTAGTTTAAATCACTAAAAACCAATAAAACAACAACTAATATGTAACGACCCGACCGGTCGTTTTGAGCTCCGGCGCGTCATTCAGCAGTTTGAGGTCATGAGCGGCTTCATCTCAGGTATATTGACTTGTGTGTATGGTCAGAATTAAAATTCAGGAAGTTTGGAGTCAAATCTAAATGGAAATTCTCATTTTGAAAGCTTAAAATTGAAGAAATAAACTAGGATTGGAATTTTGAGTAAACGACCTCGGAATTGGGATCCGAAGGTTCCAGCAGGTTCGTATGATGATTTC